GCCTACAAAAACAATAGAGGTTAGACATCATATTTGGCCCTTAACGATGATGGAACAGTAAACTACAGTGGTGGAAATGGGAAGGACATCAACACAGTGGCAACAAGGGGAAAAGTCTCAGTCTCTGAGCCGTCATGGCAGTGCTCTACATTTCACAACCTGGTACAGTTTATTCTGCACATTCCCACACAGCGAGCTCACCGCACGTCCAAAAACGACAGCTCAACCAAAACACACACAGTGCTGCGGTTCAATAGACTCTGTGACCTTGTTTGAGACCTAACTGGTTCAAAGGAGTCTGTAATTCTAAGAGTAATAGACCCTTGACTACACTTTTGGAAAGTCTGGTCCACAATGCTGTGAGTACAGAACTGCCCAATTAAACTGGATGAAGCTGTCTAACTGACACGTGAAATGACCAACAAGTGGTTTAGCTGAAATGAACTAATTATCTGATGAAGAGCCTGCGTGCTCGAAACGTCACACGCTATGAGAAAGTTAAAAAAAAAAAATGTGATACTTTTGGAGCTTTGGTGTTGCCGACTTTATATTTCATTTTTTCTACTTTTTAGTCGAGCACCCATTTGAGGTTGATGTGTGTGCTTTTGTTTCCATTTTTAGCTGAAATTAACACTATAATAACTAGGGGTGTAATGATACATCAGTGTGGATTGATGCATCCATCAAATGACTAAAATCAATATACATATTTATAGATGTACAAGAAGACTTGTTTGACTGTTCGAAAGATAAAAAGATCACTGAGCTGTCATCAAATATGTTCTAACAACTTTTACAATTATTCAAATATTTTGTATATTTATTGTTCTGTATAAATGTATTTTTTTCAACAACTGCACTACTTCATTTTGTTGTGCATGTCCTAGATTTGCACATTTTAGAGAGCACAGATAACTAAAAGACTTCTTGACTATTATTGCTTTCAAATCAATGCACAAGCCAATGATAAACTGTCATAAGACCTCATGTGACTTGATTTTTTTTTCATTATTTATTTTTCTATATTATTTAATAAACTAAAAAGTTTTCTTGTGGATGACCCAGTTGGGATAGAGGACTGTAATTTTCAGAAAGTTCAGTTAAATGTTTGCATTATATGTATGCATTTGTGGGTTAATAAAAATGTAACTGGATGTGTATAACAGGCACACAACATTGTAATATTGATATATCAATCACAGGACCTTGATTCTTATAAAATCGTATATTTTTTAAGACTTCTTAAAATATCAGCAAATATTGTATAGCTGGATAAGAGAATCAATGTCAGAACATATAGCGAAACGTTCAAGTTACACTCCTAACAATAACAGACCAACATGATTTTAAAAGAAAGTTCAAATAAAGTCACAGAAGTCTTAACAACACACAAGAAAAATGTAAAAAAATATATATTGCTCTTGATCATAATTTCTAACCAGACATATCTATAAAAAATAAAAAATAAAAAAATAAAAACCTGAATAATATAGTTCTGTTTGTGGATGTGAAGTTTACTTGCTTTAACCGTACCAATAACTCATAATCAGAGAGATATCGTCATTAGCATCGTTTAGATCCACATTCAAGATAAACATAAACTGTGCTCGGAAATACACCGCATTAAAGCAATTCAACCTCCCACAAAGCACTAGAATTTGTTTATTATTTCCAGACTGACAGCATTGGAGTGCCCCGCTGAAGCAGACACACAACACAGCTTTTGTTTTGGACGTAACACAACCCTCTCCCTGGCCACTAGCACAATGTTATTAAATGAGCATTTCCCTGCAGGTCACCAGAATCACCCCAGCACCATAAAAATGTCCCATCATGATCTACAGCCCCGACAACCAGTCGCTGATGCAGATGGAGCCAGTGAGGGCAATTAAGAGATCTCTCTTTCATTCCAGTCGGCACCGCAGCACCATTAGCCCAGCGTGACGGAGAAAACTTCATTTTCCGACATTTGTTTCAAGCTTCAAAGTGCATTTGTGCCTGGCAGCTTTACTTAACACTTTATTTACTTTACTTAAAGGCAATCAGAGATAGAAGGATGACTTTTGAACCTAAATCCCTACAGGTGTGTCATATTGTGAGTCACACAAACCCATTCATGTATTTCCAAATCACTCCAGCAGCGGATCCTCTAGAGAGCACATGGCTATTTCAGCAAAGCAGATGTGAAACATAATGTACTTATTGTGAAGACACAGGATCAAGACACTCAGGACTAGAGGACTTTTCATGCCCCTCTGTATCTACTACATGTGTTTACATACGATACCAGCACCTGTTATTTGCCAGCTGGCTATGAACCACGAGACTTTTTGACTTTCCATGACTTTTACAGTCATTTGTGATTACTAGATGAGAATCACTTTACAGAGAATGCATTCAAAGAAGAGACAAGAGCTGAACATAGTTAGACTCATTAAAGAAATTCCCATTACTTTTTTAATATTTTATAAGTTTCAAATTACAATTTTAAAAAGTCCTGGTTTTCTATGACCGTGGGAAGTCTGTACAGTCAATCCATGGTAAGCTTTCCTAAGGGTAGGAAAAGGAGTGCCCTCTGTCAACAGCACATAACCAACCCAACATGACTCAGCTCCACAGAGGAGAACAGGGCATTAAAACTCCATCTAAACACTGATGATGAGGGATTTCTACCTCTCTATGATCCTATAGTTTAAGCCGCCATGAGTGGTGGGACATTTTAAAAATGTGAAAATATTACTATTACTAATCATGCAAATAAAAATCACACAATGCAACAAACTGTAACAGACCTAAATAAAAAAAAATAATAGGTGTCATATTAATTATATAAAAAAGTGTTTTCTTTTCTTTTAGGCCAAAATGTGACCTGAACATGAGATTCAGCTGTAACCATCTTTGAGTACCCTAAAAAGCGCTCCGTAAATAAAATGTACTTAAAAATTATAATACGCTACAAGTCAAACATTTGACACACCTACTTACATTTTTTTTAGAACAATTTGACAATTTAGAACAATAAAAAAAGTGACCAAAACTATGAAATAACACAAATAGAAGCACTTTCTTTATGCATTTCCTCCATTACCTGGTCTATACAATGTCATACAAGCTAGTTTTCATATATTCATATATATATATATATATATATATATTTCAAGTTCAATGAGTCGGGCCAGCTGGCCACCTTCTACTCGCTCTCCTTCGTCTGGGGCTGCAGCATCCTCACCAGTGTAAGAGATCTGATGCTACCCTGCTCTCATCTGCACACAGACTAACTGACCGTTTCTCTAATCAACAGGAGGAGTTTGTGACAAATCCGACTTTTCTTTGGGAAGGTTATCCTCATATCAACATGGCGTGAGTGTGAATGTATTTTACAGATGGGTGATGACAACCTTTTTTTTTTTTTTTTTTTTTTTCACTTTTAGATTACTTCTAATCTAACTTGTTTATCATATTGATTTAAATAGGACAATTTTGTATCATATTGATATAAAAATGCAAAGAAAAACTGTTATTTACAACACGAAGTGCATTAAACAAAACATTATACTGCATTATAAAGGTTTCCCAAACTGGGGTCCATAAAGGAACAGCAGGGGGTTTGTGAGTTTAACGAAAAGCTAATAACTACTTAAATCACAAAAATGTAAAATTAAAATAAACCATTTTAAAATAACATCAAACAAAATAAAACACTTACTAAAAAAAATATTGTATTTGTTTAACTGCATGTCATGTGACCATAACCAACATCAGAGAACCGTGAGCATGCAAATGTGATACTGAATCATTAAAATATTTATTTTTAAATCTCAGGGGTACTTCAATAAGGTGAAAGCGGTTCAGAAGATGACAAAAAAGTTTGGGAATGCCTGCATTACATGTGAATAAGAAATAACAAAAGTCTTCCAAAGACATAATAATACATGGTTAAATAACCCACTGACCGATAATTCAAATAAAATATTAACGTGTTCATAAGTAGCTGATGCAATGTTGAAATACTGAGAAAACACTTCTTAAAACTCAAATGATTTTTGTAAATCCAGTGGTCAAATGCTATGTGGCATCTCAATTTGCATCTGTGTAATTATAGCCACCTGACTAATAACTGGTTTTTGTGTGAAACTGCTAGACTTTCTGAATGTTGGCTATTTTAGAAAGGAATATTTAAAATATGAAAAAGAGGAATTAGGGAGAATCAATAAATTATGTATAATTTATTGCTATTGTGTGAATAATATGCAATGGTGTAATCAATAAAAAAGCAACTGTAGTCTGATTCCAAATATTTTTAAATGTAATTTAATCTAATTACAAGGAATCTGATTACGTATTCCAGATTACATGTAATCAGTTACTACCCAGCTAATCAGAAATGATTATTCGCTGTTTTGCAAATGAATGCATAACATTTATTTTTGTCTGCAAAACTAATTCCAAGTATGTTTTAGATCCAAGTATGTTATTGTAGATAAAAGTTTCTAAGGGAATGGAAACCAATCAATTCATTCAAGAGTCAGAAGGGAGTCTGAGAGCGGTGTATATAATCAAAACTCACATAAACTATGTGGGAAAAGCACATTATGAACTCATGGAAAGATTCAGCATAATAAATGTGATGATGCTTCCCACTACAATCCATATATCCCACAGATTCATATTACTAACATCCAGAATTCCCACTTCAGGAGGAGATGATCCCAGCAGGACACACCAATAATCCAACTAGACGTGCCACAGAGTTTCAGCCTACACTTAAAGAGTTCATAACCCACATCCACACACTAGACACCGTGCTGGTATCCCGGGATAGAGAAGCGGACCAGCCTCGGCACATTCCCGTTTAATCTGAGAGAGCAGCGATACAAACAGCGCGCAACAAACTATCAAACTCCAGCCGAACGCGCGAGCCTTTGTAACGGATGTTGGAACTCTTTGAACACTTCGTTAACATCCACCGGCGGGCACTGAAGATGTAAATGCAACATTACCTGATTTTTGTCATGAATTATCCGTCAGGGAAAAGTTATGAGGACGCCGCTTCTCTCTCACAGACAGTGCGTGTCGGGAGCGCGCACGGCTCCTCCCTCCCTCCACGCGCACGCACGACGTCTACGCCAAAGTATGTTTACTATCAAGGGGGCTTCTCATAGTAAGTGAGGTATCTTGATTTAGTGTTGAGGTGATGCTAGCACCGATTACAAAACTGGACCTCCACAGATTCTGAACAGGAAAACAATGTCACACTAACTACCAGTGCTGGTTAGTAACTTACTAATCATTACGTAATCAGATTCCTTGTAATTAGATTACTAATTACATTTTAAAATACTCGAAATCAGACTACAGTTGCTTTTTTATGGATTACATGATCACATATTATTTACACAATAGCAATAAATTATTCATAATTTATTGATTCTCCCTAATTCCTCTTTTTCATCTTTTAAAGGGGTCATATGATGCGATTTCAATGTTTCCTTTCTCTTCTGTGTCTGTCACGGGACTCTGTTCCCCTTTCGGGCTCTGTCTTTACATTTATTTTGAAAGATGAAGCTCGTGATTATGGTAAGGGGCGTTACATTTCCGAGGTGTGCTTGTGGTGTTCGGCCAATCACAGTGCACTGGGTCAGCTGGCCAATCAGAGCGGACTGCGCTTGTCAAAGGAGGGGGCTTTGTAGAAAACGAAGCGTTTGAGAGAGGCGGGGCATAGAGGACCTACAATAATGTACAGTATTTGAAAAATAATGTGTTTTTTGAACATTAAAGCATGTCAACATATTCTGTTACACCAAATACACAAAATAATGATCTTTAAAATAGCATCATATGACCCCTATGTTCTTTTCTAAAATAGGCTACCGCTTGTATACATTCAGAAAGACACAGCATTTGACCACTGGATTTACAAAAATCATTTCAGGTTTAGGAAGTGTTTCAACATTGCATTAACTACTGATGAACACATTAATTTTTATTTGAATTATCACTCAGTAAGTTATTTAACCATGTATTACTATAGCTTTGGAAGGCTTTTGTCTTTCAAACACATTAAAATGCACAAATTCCCAATTTTTTTATTTTTTGTCATCTGAACCTCTTTCACCTAATATATTTACTTGAAGTACCCCTGAGATTTTTAAATAAATATTTTAATAATAAACTATCACATTTGCATGTTCACATTGTTGGTTATGGTCACATGACATGCAGGTAAACAAATAAAATATTTGTTTAGTATATGTTTTATTTTGATTGATTTTAAAATGTTTTATTTTAATTTAACATTTTTATAATTTAATTAATTATTAGCTTTTCATTAAACTCATGAACCCCCTACAGTTCCTTTATGAACCCCAGTTTGGGAAACCTTTATAATGTAATGTAATGTTTAATGCACTTCATGTTGTTAATAACAATGAATGGAACATATTTTCTTAATCTTTGAATTTTTATATCAATATGATACAAGATTATCCTATTTAAATCAATGTGATAAATGAGATAGGACAAAAGTAATCTAAAAGTAGTCTGATTGTATTACCTAAAATGTGTAATGTAATGGATTATGATTTTTGTCATGTAATTTGGAATCAGTAACGAATTACGATTTGTAAGTAATCTATCCAGCTCTGATAACTAGTTTTCTCATTTTTCACCGCAGTTAATAAATATGACATTTTCTGAACACAAACTCTGATTACAAAAAAAACCCACTTAAATTTTCCACAATTACTGAACAGAAAAAAATATGTACACCATGTGGGCATTATAATAATACTGTCATGTTATATGGGGTAAGTTGTCACAATGAGAACTTGCCATTAAACAGACTATCACAAGCTATTTAGCACATATTAAACAGAAAAACAATATGAAGCACCGACATTTATGCATTTGTTTGGAGACCCCAGTGATTTATGTTTTAACGTAACAACAGTAATTTCAAAGTCAACCTCTTATTTTCTCTTTATTTTTTCAAATTCTTTTCGCAGACCTAATCAAAACCCAGTAGGTTGATATTATTGAAGTTTTAATCATCACAGAGTAAGCACTTTTCAGAAACATGACTGGTATCTCTGAGACCTCGTAAATCTTACATTTACAGTTATCAAAATTTTATTAATCAGTTCTCCTACTTTAAAGTTAAGGCAAGAGACTACAAGAATAGGGTAAAAAAAAAACTGCAAATAATTTAAAACACAAGTTAGATATTACAAGTTTTATGAAATGTTATATTTAAATATGTAAATTGTGCATAATCTAATTAAATATGCACTAATTTGCATAACAAAATCTGAGCATTGAATAACACCAGGTTCAAAATTCTTGTTTTATTTTGTTGACCTATTAGAGTTAAAGGTTTTTATTGTGTGTGTGTGTGTGTGTGTGTGTGTGTGTACCTGGTATTTATCACGTTATGGGGACCAAATGTCCCCACAAGGATAGTAATACCAGTAAATTTTGACCTTGTGGGGACATTTTTGATGTCCCTATTAGGAAACAAGCTTATAAATCATACTGTGTGTACCTGGTATTTATCACGTTATGGGGACCAAATGTCCCCACAAGGATAGTAATACTAGTAAATTTTTTTACCTTGTGGGGACATTTTTGAGGTCTCCATGAGGAAACAAGCTTATAAATCATACAGAATGAGTTTTTTTGAGAAAGTAAAAATGCAGTTTCTTTCCTGTGAGGGGTAGGTTTAGGGGTAGGGTTGGTGTAGGGCAATAGTACATACAGTTTGTACAGTATAAAAACCATTACGCCTATGGGATGTCCCCATAAAACATGGAAACACAACATGTGTGTGTGTGTGTGTGTGTGTGTGTGTGTGTGTGTGTGTTTTTGTTTTGAAAAATACTGTTAACAGCCAGAAAAAAAAATACATTTCCAATATGTTTTAGGAATAAAATGTTAAATATATATCAGTTGTCTATGAAAACCTTTAGAATATAATACATTTTGGTTTATATTAATGCTACTAAAGTAGAGTTTTCTGGCTCAACGCAGAAGAAAAAAACTGAGAAAACAGCTTTAAAGATATGTATTGTAATTGAAAACTACAAACACAAATATATAAAGTGCAATAAAATAAATATTGTTTGAAAGTCCACTAGTCTGAAAGCAAAATAGCAAAATACCCCAAAATCTCAAAATTGACCATTGCATGAAAATGCAATGTTTTTGCCTGTGGTGTTTTGCCTTGAGTATGGTTTTTGACCTATTAAACGGCCTTAGGGTCTCTCAGATCTCAAACCTGAGGTTTAAAACAACTTTACTGAACATTATGAAGAAATTCAGGCACAGGTTGTAACTTAAAGCACCAAAAGAGATGATGCATTAAAGAGATTTTTACCATGGTTAAGAGTGCAAAGTTGAGAATTTCTTTTCTTTAAAAAAAAGAACAACATTAAACCTTGTGTTTTGGAAAATGTTTAGTCAGCCTGATGAACTCTGGACGCAGAAGAAAGGCTGAGATTTACCGCAGGAAAGATACTTGTGTAGAGATTCCTATGACAAATCTAACTGCTGTTCCAGAGGTTCAGGCTGGCAGTGGATGTGATGCAGTCTTTAATACAGTTTGACCTTTGCTGTTCCAGTGCACAGGGTGATTGGAGGTGTTTTAGCGAGATCCTGTGGGGATTCACTCATGTGGTGAGTCTAAAATAGAGCCAGATCTCCAAAGCAGCTATCCTGCAGATGTCTGTAATAATGAGAGGTTGTAATTACAATTCAAAGAGAACTGGATATGCTCTTAGCCCGAGTGTGTGTTAATATTAATGTATTTTTTAAGAATTAACTCAATGCTGACACCATCTGGTACAGAAAGCTATTGCAAACATAATGCTAAAATACAAAACCTGAAGTTTTTACCTGCAAGTGACATTCTAATATGCTGATTTGCTGTTCAAGAAACAATTCTGATTATTATCAACGTTGAAAACAGTTGTGTACAGTTTTTTTCTGGATTCTTTGATGAATAGAAAGTTCCAAAGAACAGCATTTAGCTGAAATAGAATGCATTTGTAACATTATAAATGTCTTTACTGTCACTTTTGATCAGTTTAATGCATCCTTGATGAATAATTTCTTCCCCCCCCCCATGTTAATTTTAACTTTCTACACTCTTAAAAATGCTGGGTTGTTTCAACCCAACTTTGGGTCAAATATGAACTAACCCAGCTGTTGGGTTAAATTTTTTAATTGAATTTTTAACCCAAAAGTTGGGTTAGTCCATATTTGACCCAAAGTTGGGTTGAAACAACCCAGCATTTTTAAGAGTGCATTGTGCAAAAAAAGTTACTTTAATAAACTTTAATTTATTTAATAAAACGAAGTATATACAAATTAAACACAAATGTCTATAGGGGCCGTTTTAACTTTTGAACATTAATTTTATGTTTCAGGAAATAACTTATATGCTGAAAAACATTAAGTGCTGCAATAGTAATTTCTTATTAAATGTACTCCATTAATCTTTATTTACTACATTGAAAAGCCTTTTTAAAAATTTTTTTTTTTTACTAAAGTGAATGTTGTATGATGTTGTCTTAGAGTTGTGTTTTTACACCAGCTCTGACTCTGGACATCAACCTATTGTCAAGCAGACATTGGGTCTGAGTAATAACAGTAACCTGTTGTGTGCATCCAGTGGCTCTGGTCCAGGTCTGGTGGTCGTGTCTGTGAATGTGAATGTGAATTCGCTGCTGTGCTGCTCTGCTCAACAGCTGCTGACTGAGATGATTTGTGATGTGGTGGAGTTCCCACATGAAGGCTTCTCCTAACAAACGCTGCTTGTGTAATGCGTAACGTTAAAGAGGCACACATCTAAGAGTTCTGAAAGATGTTAAACACATGGTTAGATCACATTAAAGGGCCCGTGAAATCAAAATGAGAGTTTGTGGCTTTCAGTCCATGTCTTTAAGCTCTGAGATCTTTGTCAGTTATCAGGGAACGTTCTCAGAACATTCTGGCAAGGTTCACCCAACATTATAAACATAGAGTTACTAGTAACTTTAATAGAACGTTTGTTATCTGTTATTTGTTATCTGGTCTTTGATGATGTTCTCAAAACATTACCACAAAAACATTATTT